CAAATTAAAAGCGGGAGAGATGATTATGTCTTTACCGGTGGACGTCAAGATCTCGAGGGAGATACGAAGAACTCTTTCTTTTCTCTTTTACTAGCGAAGACCTTGGTTACTAATCTTCAATTAAAACATAATTTTGCTCTCTGCTGGTTAGTGACATAAGAGATACAGTGATTAAGGTTGCCAGAAAAAGCTATAGACAATAAATCAGCTGTAATAATGTGTCAAAAGGTTTTAATATGTCATATCAAGCTGCATCCTTCAAAGGAAAAATACACCTCTATCCAATGGATCTGTCAAATGTTTCTCATTTCACAGTGAATTAAGTTTTTTTAATTTTGCCATTCATAATGCATGTGACAGCTGAAGTTAGCCCTGTTCATGTAGTTATACTGCTAATAATAATTTATCTGTTCATCGTCTGGATTTAATCCATTCAACCACAATAATCTGTGTGAGATTTATAAAAAGATATAAACAAAAACTAAGACCAATGAAAATGTGAGCTATAAGTGCTATAAGTGCCTCGCATCAAATTTATGCAAAGCGCTTGTAAACATCTGGCTGAGGTTGGAAAGTTCATTTAGTTCATTTTAACATCAGTCAAAATTTCATGCAAATATCTGACCAACAGTTTTGATGTTATATGCCTGATGTTACACTTATGCAAATCCATTAGGAACAGTATTAAGCAGAGTATGTACATGACTTTAAAGAACTGGCAAAAACAGCAGAAATTAATTAGAAAAGCAAATTGAACTATTCAATAACTGTCACGATTCGCTGTGGGAGGAACGATGGAAATGAGTAAATTAACTGGGACACGGAACACATGGGGAGGGAAAACACAACAAAACCAGTCCAGGGGAGTGACATTACTCCCCCCTCCCGGAAGGCACGTCCCGCGCCACAACAATTCCACCGGGGAGGGGGGAGCGGGTCCCTCGTGGCGGGCGTGGTTGCTGGCTCTCGCACCTGCTCAGACGGACTGGGCACTTCATCCGGGGCGATCCTCCTCTCAGACGCTCTGTACTGCGCTGGCTCATTGATCGCAGTGGAAACTGGCTCTCCATCCTCGGTGGGCTCGGGCTTGTGCTCCGCGCAGCGGGGAGATGGTGGGCTGGGCTCTGGGTCTGGAGTGGCACTGGCGAGATTCCCCTCGGGACAAACGGTGAACGGGGATCCGTGTCTCGCCAGTGTCCACTCCACAAAGGCGGCGAAATTTTCATTTTGCCATTCATAATGCATGTGACAGCTGAAGTTAGCCCTGTTCATGTAGTTATACTGCTAATAATAATTTATCTGTTCATCGTCTGGATTTAATCCATTCAACCACAATAATCTGTGTGAGATTTATAAAAAGATATAAACAAAAACTAAGACCAATGAAAATGTGAGAGGCAAATGCTATAAGTGCCTCGCATCAAATTTATGCAAAGCACTTGTAAACATCTGGCTGAGGTTGGAAATCATTTCAAGTTCATTTTAACATCAGTCAAAATTTCATGCAAATATCTGACCAACAGTTTTGATGTTATATGCCTGATGTTAAACACAGGGCAATCAGGGGAACACAGGTGCATGGAATCAGTCAATTAACTGGGACACGGAACACATGGGGAGGGAAAACACAACAAAACCAGTCCAGGGGAGTGACATTACTCCCCCCTCCCGGAAGGCACGTCCCGCGCCACAACAATTCCACCGGGGAGGGGGGAGCGGGTTGACAGAGTCCAGGGCGGTGATGAAGGAGGAAGGAGCCAGGGAGGAAACAGGAGGGGCCCGGAGCAGGAGGAGCCCAGCTGGACCCCGGGCCACAGCCATAATGTCGACCCACGGTGTTCAAGTTCATTTTAACATCAGTCAAAACTTCATGCAAATATTTGACCAACAGTTTTGATGTTATATGCCTGATGTTACACTTATGCAAATCCATTAGGAACAGTATTAAGCAGAGTATGTACATGACTTTAAAGAACTGGCAAAAACAGCAGAAATTAATTAGAAAAGCAAATTGAACTATTCAATAACTGTCACGATTCGCTGTGGGAGGAACGATGAGGTGGAGGAGCCCGAGGCGGAGAGCCAACGAGCCAGGGGGATGCCGCAGATCCAGGGGGCCAGGGTGGAGCCGAGGGCTCTGGCGACCGAAGCGGAGATCCGGAGATCCGTAGTGGAGCCGGAGCGACTGAGGACCAAGGTGGAGCTGACGGGAGGGAGGAGCCCAACGGAGCCGGTGGGACGGAGCGACGAGGTGCAGC